AAGATAAATAAAAAAATTAATAAATAAATAGACTGCTGCATTTAAAATTTCTAACTGTATTTTTTATAAATATGTATTCTATTACACGTAACTGAAAACTATTTGTACAAATTAAAGCAGTACTTATTAGAGTGTTACGGACAATTCTGTACAAGCAGTTTTTCTTATGAACTAACTCATAAATGAAGTACTAATAATCTATTAATGATATAGTACACTGTGTCTGCCTCATATGACAGTGGTAAACATCATGGACTTTCTAATATAAACTTTATTTTATTTCGAATACACGTATTTAATTCATATAAATACACAAAAATGGTATTTTCCAAAAGTTACAATATTTCTGTTAAAATAATTTCTAATAAAACTTAAAAGGACGATAAGTTTAATGTGTTAAAAAAATATTTTCGTGAAATTTCTAAAGCCCTTGTATAAGGCCGATAAAAAATATCCTTGGTTAATAATCTTCAGCCATGCTAAGTTCTAAATCAAAATCTAAAAACACTCAAATTTTTTTTTGTTTTTTATGCAGCTTACTTTTTTTACAACACTCAAAGTATTATACTGCTTCATTATCATACATAAAAAAATCAAACAAAGTACTGTTGTCTTATTACTGGTACTTTATGAAAATCTTACATCATGTACATGAATGCTTTGATAGGTCGTTAGTAAATAAAACTGTACGGCCATTATTTATCTACAGTTCATAAAAAATTCATATACAATACCAGTTAAAAGTTAATATAACTTACAAAATGCGATGAATATTAATTGTTCTTGTATCTACACTCAATATGTTTGCATCCTAGGCAATGTCAAAAAAAAAGAATCAATGATATTCAAGAAAATATTTAATTTTGTTGAAAAAATAAATATTGAAAAAATAGTTTGTTTGTATCTCTAAGGTCAGTAATAAGTAGTAGGTAGGAACTTTAATACAATTTTAATCTTAAAATATCCTGGGACTAAGTCTTACATTTCTGGGATTTTTGGGATTTATATTAATTTTTTGATGGGCAAAAAGTAAGGACCGTCAAACAATTTTTAATTGCCTGAACTCTCACTTCAGTTAATTTTTCTTCAACATAATGAAAACTGAGACTCTTGGCTTCTAATATAAAATGTTAATGAATTCTTAAAAACATTATTCTATAAATCTATACGTAATATTTAATTACAACTCGTTGCTATCTCTGTAATTCGGTAAGATGGATATCAACAAGCGACACTTTTTATGCTTCAAGCAGAGCTGAGGTAAGGATTACTACTATACAAAGCCCGTGTTTGTGTAATTATACTATCATTGAAAAGTTACTTTGCGTCAGGGTTGTACAACAGTCCTTGATTAACTATCAAGCTAAGCGTGTTCATTTTTTCTTACAAGTTACATGTGACAGCTAGACAACGTATTTCCTTGTGTAAGTAGATTTCTCATTATTTTGTTAGTTAATTATTAGTTAGTATGTGAATTATGTGTGTGATTGAAGGAGATGTTTTTGTGTAGTCTATAAATAGATCCGTGTTTTCTATTAAAAGGTATTAGCTAATAATAAGTAATCGTACTGCTGAGCAACTTTTTTTCTGACAAATTACTAGTAAGAACTACTTAACGGTTTCAGCTAGTTAGTTGGTTTTTATTTTATTGTTAGTTGTTTAATTACACTTTACTACTAATAGTGTGTGTATATGTATTTTTTTGAGTGTGCAAACTAAGATTATTAATGACACTTGAATTTTCTTAAAATCGACCGTTAAGTAGAGCTTACAGTAAACTGGTATTATCTTAAAAAATTATGTATGTGCAACACAAAAATGACAGAAAAAGATCATCACTGTAAATCTATTTCTGTATTACTAAAGATAATAATACAGGCTTTACTAAAAACCTTAAGAAATATAACTAAAGGAAATAAATGCGCAATATTAGCTGCAAAGCCGTCATGATCAACAAGCCAACGTGCCGAAGAATTAGTTAATCATACATGCTTGCGTACTGACAATAAGTTTAGATATAAGCTCGATTACAATCTAAATATTCTTTGGGCTTATTTACGGAATAATGACAAGAGAAACTTAATTTGATTGAAACAATGTTTATGTTCTGTTAAAGTATGAGCACTTGAGGTGCCCTTCTCCAGAAGCTAGATAGGTCTTATCAGTTATTTTTAATTTCCTAATTCGACCTTAGTTGTGTTACCTTAGAATTAGCTTAATCTTAAATTACTTTTGTACTTTTTAATTTCCTTAAACTTTTAAATGTGTGACTATTCTTCTAAAAATTAAATGATTTCTTTAAGTGATGACCATCAATGGTAACACGCAAACTATTACTTAGCACAAATATTAACAAGTACAAAAACCAAAGAATTTTTGATAACTTATTAAACTTAACAAAACTAATTTTACTATTGTCAAAGCACAACACACCAGGACTCTGACTACAAGCCCTGCTCGTTTTAACTTAATTTTTTTAATCAGTACAACTGTAATGACTAAGCAATTTTTAATGTAAAATGACAACATCTTATTCTTTCACAATACAATATTTTATTTTTTAAATGCACTACGTGAAATTTTAATAACGCTAAAGTCACTCATACAAATAGTTGTAACAAAAGAAATCCTTCAAGTAAGGGTAACCTGAAGTTGAGATGATTAATATCAAATCATGCCGTAAGAAAGATAGCAGCCAGTGTAAGGATGGATTGTTACTAGTCCTAAAGGTGACAACTTTAAATAAGTATTTATCTAAAAAAGTAATTATAAATAACATGCTAAAAAAGTAATTAAGTAATGTATTATTATTAGCTTGTTCTGCAGTTACTAGTTAGAAAGATAACGTACTATATATTTTAATAATTTCTTTGATAAGAGACTTTTTTTAGTAAGTAACTCTCACATTATCTTTTCCAAACTAACTAATAAAATACTTTTGTGTTTAGTGCCAGAGCACGACACTAGCCATCACAGAAATAATTTTTAATCCTAAATAAATTTTAAGCCTAAGTACAACATCGCAGCTGTAAGCTGGAAGCACAGTGCTAACTAGCTTAAGCTAGGATTTTTAAACCTTAGCTGATTTCAGTCAGACATCTTTTTTCTGGAGAAGCATCCTATCTTGGTAACAGGTAATCTTACTTTGTAATAAATGCAACATTAAACTTTAGCTCAATATTTAAAAGAGTCGTATAGTTTTATCTTTCTCTCTTAATCATTTTGTTTGAGTTTTCATTTCACTACACTATGTGAAATTCATTCTAAACTTATCTCACATCATGAATTTGGTGTTAGCTAATTTTATTATGGAAATACGTCACAATACTAGCTCTAATTAACTTAAGCTTTATCATAAAATACATTTGGTCTTCTCTTATTATTGATAAACTATAAAAAGCACTTCCGTTATCCGTTTGATATTTAGAATGACAAGTCAATAGAAATTTTATGTAAAGAAGCGATGTGACGTACAAAAAAAGAGGTTATACCGTTACATGGCTTTCCAGAGACTAATAGGATAAAATCTCTTATGCATTACATAAGGTCTTAGGTTATTTGTAAAGCGTTCTTTAAGAACTAAAATATTTATACTTTACAGAATTTCATGAACGTAAAGAAATAAATCTGTTTTTCAGGTACCTTCGTCATGTCTATTTAATTTACTACTTAGTCTTGAAACACCGTCACCAGACCCCCTGAATATAAGTGAACTAGTCAAAGCTGATAAGCCACTTAAGGCAATTGATTTTTGTTATCATGATGAAGATGAAATGGTTTCTATACTTGACTGCATATCTTTATGTGTGATGGTTTCATCATATTCAGCTGATTCTTTCAGGGGACAGCAAATGCTGGTAAGTAGTGCATGTATACGTACATATATACACATAAATGCTTACAAGTAATTTAACAGCTGTCATTGGCGTGCACAGCAGGGTATTTGAAATCTGATTCTGTCAAAAATATTATTAAATAATTTGCTTAGAAAAAACGCACATTACAAGGTTGTTTAATTTCAGTCAATTATGAACAAGCTTTTAGTGTATTAGACTGCTACTAAGCGTGGTTTGATGTGAGTAAACTGTATGAAAACAAACCATTTGTCAGTCAGTGGTGTAGCAGTTAATCTCTCGTCATTGTTATCTTAAGTCATTGATACTTACTACTGACACAGCACAAGGTATTTTTGTCAATGTGAAAGTCCTCATTAAATCACCAAACAAGTCATATCAGCACAAAACTAACATTTGAATTCTTACGTAATGTTAAACAACTGACAGTTACTACTTGTTAATGTACTGTAAAAACGTTAACCATAGATGATTCTGCAAAAAAAAAAAATTTAACATTTTTATAATTACTAACGTATAATACAATTAAATAGTAATTTAGTATATTTTATGGTAATAATAAGAGTCACACAAAACAGAAACTTCAAGAGGTGTCAAGCTACACCAGCAAATCGTTACTAAAGTTAAATTTGGGCCCTTATTAAATAGCAACACAGTATTACAAAATAGTCACATCACAAGTGCTTCGTTAGTTTCTAGTTAGTAAGAATTTGGCAAGCACTTCATGGATATTTGATAGCCTCTAGTCAAGTACTAGGCAGGTACTTAAGGGGAATTTGGCTCACCTTACAGATAACCTTGCGAGACTTAACTGACAGTGGTAGGACAGGAGGAGGTGGTACTTGACAGGCACTCAGCATGTACTTGGTAGAAACTTGGTAAATACTTAGTTGATACTTGACAGGTACTTTTCTGGTACTGCTCCAGTATTTAGCAGGTAGTTGACAGGAATTTTTTAGGTACTTGATAGGCACTCGCTGAAAACTTACTAAGTACTCGATCGACACTTAAAAGGCAGTTAACGGGTTCTTGACGTACACTTAGCAGTTACTTTGCATGTACTGAACGGAAAATTGACAAAAACTCCACGGTTATATGGCTAGTACTTGGTCAGTTGCTAACAATCATATGCCACGTGCTTTGTGGGTAACATAGAAGCATACAACTTCTACACTTAAAGGGCAATTGACAAGCAATTGACATGTACTTGGCAGGTACTAATCAAGTACTTGATTAGCACATTACGGTTACTTTATTGGTACTGGGAAGGCCCTAAGAAGATATTTAACAAGCAACTAATGGGTAGTTAACAGAAACCTGGTGACTACTTGTCAAGTATTGAACCGAAACTTTGTAGCTACTTTACAGACAGAAAAAGGGTACTTGGTAAACACTTGGTAAGACTATTGGCTTATTGTGGGTATCCGTCAGAAATGTAGAAAGTACTTGGTGATAACTTGGCAGATACTTAATATGCACTTGATGAGTTCTTGGAAGGCAATTTATAGGTTGTCAATGGCTCTGTGTTGATACTGGTTATGACTTAATATAAGCTTGCTGAGTACTTAACGAGATATAGACGGATATTTGATGAGCACTTGGTAAGTACTTGACGAGTTGGTACTTGGTTTTTGACGAGAAATATACGTGTATCTTGCAAAAGCTTGCTCAATATTCGATGGCTAGTTTACAGGAGTTTGGCAAATAACTAAGTACTTCTAGATGAGCAGATGTTAAGTACTTGATAATTACTAAATAGACATAAGATGGAGACTTTGTGGGTACTGCAAGTACCACTCACGTGTCCGTAAAGTCCCACGTGAAGTCTGACAAGTACTTTTCATGGGCCCGTAAGGTACTCACCTAATGTAAGTCAAGTACTTGCCAAGCCCCTACTAAGTTTATGTCAAGTTCCAATTAGTTGTTTTTTAAGTCTCTGCTAAGTACCTACTAAGTGTTCATTAAGTACTCGCTCGGTATTTATTACGTACAGGGCAACTATTTCTTAAGTCACATCTTAAATCTACTAAGTTCCTGATGAGTTTTTGTCAAGTACTCCAGAAGTTCCTATCAAGTTCCACCCAGTATCCACCAAATACCTGTCATAAGCCTGTAAAATACTTGAATAAGTACCTAATTAGTGGCTGGCAAGTACCTGTCAAGTATCTGGCAAAGACCTATTAATTACCAGCTTAGTACACTCCAAGGGTCTGAAAAATACCTGTCGACTATCAGCCTCGTGTCAGACAAGTGTCGTAAGGTCTCTGTGACGTAACAGCCAAATGTTTGCCAAGAGTTAACCTCGTATCTGACAAGTAACTATAAAGTACCTGTAAAGAGTTCGCTAAGCTTTTTTTGCTCAAAAGCCAAGTAAGAACTTGTCATGTTATGCTACTGTAGGGGATATTATGTTATGTTGCTGTTTTTCAGAGCCCAAGTTAGGTTCAAGTTAAGTCTTGGCACAGTACTGGTACAGCCGTATACTACTTCAAGTTGCTGAAGTCTTAGCCTCTAATTGTTAGCATACAATTTACTGAAGTTGTATCAAGGTGTCTTATAAGTTGGTGATTATGGAATTGTTAGCTCCTCTGATGGCTCACGCTAAAAAAGTTAAAGATTTTGCAGCATGCTTACAAGTAGCAGTTGTATATTATTTAGCACACAGTTGATATTAAGATATTGATTAAACAGAAATCTATTTTGTTTCGTAAGGGACTTATAGTTTAACACGTACAAAAGTATCTGATGCTGTAATCATAGTAAGTATCAATGACCTCGTGCTTTCAAAAACCACCAACGTGCCAACATTGGTCACTTGAGTCATACCACTGCTCTTTCTACTAACAAATAGGTTGTTGTTGTGCAGTTGCTTACTCACATTAAACCATACACTGTGACATGCCATCCTTTAGTAACTTGTTTTTTAAATTGAAATTGATTAGTCTTGTAAAAGTCCTAAAAAAAAAAAAAAAATCAAAAAACTTAAATGTTAGATGATTGCTAAACACGCCAGAATCCTATATATCCATAGGGACACTGATAAGAATTTATATATAAATACGTATCTTTAATAATGGTGACTTTTGCGGACATTATTATGTTAAAAAATATTATTGTGAGAACAAAATCGGACTTATGAGGACTGTCCTCATAACTTTTCAATGTTACTAGTATGTATTCTAAAAGCACGAGGAGTCCTTATAAGTCATCTAACATGAAGAGATATACATATACTGAGAAAGTGACGTATGCAGACTTCACGGGCTTCCAAAATGTATATCAATAACATGGTAGAATTGGTGGGTCCGCATAGTTCCACTTTTGTCCTCATATTTACTCATACCTACATGTGATTGTTCACGTAAGTCACCTTTATACACACATACATATGTTCTAAGTTGTATATATATATATATATATAAATTTACTCAATTACGAACTTTCTAAATTTGTTTTCCTCAACTTGCAGACTATTTTAGAAGCTATTATGCCTTGCTATGTGAAACAAATACAACTGTCAACGTACAGTAGAGAGGGAAAAACTGAAAAGGAAATAGTTGTTCATCTTGCTGCTGCCATTAAAACACTTATTAACAATTCTGAAGCTCTATCAAAGTAAGAGCATGCTTAAAATTTTTTAAATAATTAAACTATAACTATAAAAAGAAATACTTTTATTTTGACTCTTAAAACGATTATGTTCTTTGAAAGAATAAAAAGTATTTTAACTTTCAATTTAATAAGTTGTTGATATAAATATCTTTGTAAGAGGCAGACTACCTAAACATCTACTGTAATTTTTTTTGCATGATAATTTTAAAGGTTTCTTGAACACATTAAATGTTGATTGCTATGTTTTTTATAAAATAAGCTATGACCTTTCGTAGAAAGGTAATCTTACGGTTGTTGGCAGAAGTAAAAGCCTGTAACAGCCTATTTCTTAGTCAAATGACACAGTAGTTGATTAATTTCAAATATACTAGTATATAGCTTTCCTTGAAATAAAGACAAAAAGTACTCATCTGGAGAGAAAAGAAGATTTAATTAAAAAATAACTATGCGTGTTAAGTAATGTTTCAAGTTTACTTGAAACACTAATAT